AAAGAGGCTCTGAGGTAATATGTAACTTGGTTTCCAAAATGTCCTTATGTGGCTGAATTCAGCCATACCTAAGAATGATTTGGTGTTCTGGGCTTTGTTTCACCCATTCCTTCTATCTTCTCCAGCCCAGTCCCAATAAACATTACTAAGGAGATTTTCATAATGTATCCAAGAAAAGGATTCAATTCTAGTGAGGTAGAAGGTAAACAAGATAGGAAAGAGTAATACTTCTTGGGATGGGAAAGGGTGGGGGATTCATTACCATCAGTAACAATGACCAGATCCCATTTCATCATGGCACACAGCACATGTTCAGAGGGAAAGGGCTGCCTGAGAACCCTCAAGATCAGTGCTACCAGGCTGTACTAGATACCCTCCATGGGCAGAGATGATCAAAGTCACTGGTTCAAGGAACCTTCCCCTTTAGAAACCAATGACTATATCATTGTTGACCTCTGTGGACCAAAGTCCCAAAAGTTGAACAGTCTGCTTTCTCCAAGATATCCAAGATATTTGCATTTTCCAAGGTTGATTCAGGAATAAAACTCAGTGTTTTTTTAAGTTGGATAATGTTTGAGATGAATAAGAAGACTGAATTTTAGTATATTAAATTTAGAAAAAAGTATCATACAATCCCGAGAGAGTTGAATAAAATGTATACCTAATTCACCAACATGGGTAATTTTAACAACATCTTGGATTAAAAGTGGTATCTTTGTAATGATTTTTTGTGTGACCTTGGTTTTGAAAGTGTAACTGGTATCATTCTTTCCAGAATCAAGTTGCTGGAGATGGAGAACCCCAAGCCAGTGAACCCAGAGCTCTCTTCATTACACATCACTGGAATCTTGGATATGCTGAACAACTTCCGAGGTAAGTGTGAGCCTTTGGCACTCAGGTTCAAATTTTTTACTAGAGTCCTCAAATAAAAGGCTTCACATTTTTAATATTCTGATGTGAAAACTTTATCTTTTTGCCTTGTCTAGTCACAATACAATGACCAAGACCACACTTGTTAACTTATAGCTCAGATACATATTCTAGTTCTAATACAGACAGTACAAGAAAAGGAACATTATTGATGTTTGGAGAGTTATTAAGCAATACAATGTTTACTTCTCAGAGCAGCCATTAATATTTTGTGTTTTTTCAGTTTATTCTAATGTGATATTGGTTGCTTTTAATCTATTCTATATTCCAAGTACATTTATGATATGCAATGGGCAAACAATAACTACTATTTATAAAATACAAGTTTTATTGAGCAGAAAAAGACTAAATTTCCCATAAATAGAACAATTTAATACCATCAGATGGATTTCAAAAGAACTGAAAGGTAAGTGACCTGTAAACATGACCCAGCCATGTTTGTGCATCACTAGAGAGCAGGTCTAGATATCAGAAGGCTGGAACCCAAGTTAGATTGGATTCATGGTCTCAACAGATCATATAAGTCCAAGGTTCTTTTCTGTCAAGTGTGCAGATGCTGCTTTCTGCCAAATTATTTGGTGTTTGATAATGAAACAGGCACAATCATAGCAAAGTAGTGTCTATTTATTAATGGTATCAATAACAATTCAAGAAGAGATTTCTACTAAAAAAAGAAAAGAAAAGTAAAAAGACTTTTTGTGTGTGTGACCTGAAACAAACCATCTGAAAGCTGAAATTACATTACCCCTTCACTCAACAAGGAGTACCTTCTGTTTTCTTTTATTTAGCATTACAATTTAAAGATTTCTGGGTGCTAAAGAGGGCATAGGAAACTTTCTCCATACATGAGTTTGAACTCTCTCTGCTCCCTACTGTTCCTTAGAAGAGGGGCAAATAAAGAGATTGATTAGGTAGACAGTTTTTGTCCAAGACATGCAAATGCTCTTTACTGATATGATTTTTGTTTTGTTTCGTTTTGTTTTTGTGCAGTGAATAATGGAAATATTCAAGGATGGGCCAATTGCTATATGAGCCTTTCTCATGAAGATAGAAATAAGATATTTGGAGATGATGGTGGAACTAAAGATCCCCAGACAGTTGAGAGTTACGTTATATGGA